TTAATAGCAACTGGTAATACATACATTTTCGAACAAATCCGGCGAGCCCATATCCAATCATTTGCGTGCTAATCAGTAACATGAAACCGACGAAGAAACTAACTCGAGTATTATAGAATAATTCTTGAATTGAGATAATATCCTACAAAGTGAATTACGGGAAGACAACATCAAAAAAATTATGAGCCAATAAAAAAATAAAAAAACAATAAGAATTTGAATGATACCACAGCATACGCGCTAAAACCACCTGCAGCAACAGCGACGCCTATGCACACGTGTTCCTTATAGTTAAAAGGACCTGCACAATAGTTGGTTACATATTGTATTAATTATATGAAAAAAGATCAAATCTAAATATTTGTAAAAATCGACAAACCTGGATTTAGATTAAATTCCCAATTTTTAATACAAAATTTCTTATTTGGCAAGATTTTTTCCAACCATTTACCCATAATATAGGATAAGAGTATCACAAAGAATATAGAATAATACAGGCTATTTGCACGGAAATAATAGAATACTGACACCGCGGCACCCAGTATCGTAAAGAGCTATAATACATAATTCGGAAATTATATTTATTATATCGATATATGGTATGCCTAGTTACATGTACCATATCGACCCATTTTTAATTTCCTTATTTGGAGGGAGGTCATCTGACGCCTAGTAATTTATATGCATCATGTGATTTTTAATTTACAAATTTGTTAGTAATCAATGTAAAAACTATCCAGCTTTAGACGACCTCTATATTTGGAAGGATATCTAATGCAAGTAGGCTAAATTGTTCAATCGGCATTTTTTTTACGTATTACGTATGTCCAGGATAGGTCCAGTTTGCTTTTTTGATTATTAAAATTTAATTTTGCTTATTTAAAATTTATAGTTAATCGACGTAGATCTCCAAATAAGAAAATTAAAAAATGGACCGCCCTATAATATACTGATATATGACTTACAGTACTCAGCACCCAATATCGAAATGTCAAGCATGGCAAGTCTGGATTATCATTTGTGCTAACGGCCTAAATTTCAAACATTTTTCAAGGTGAAAAAGGTATTGAAGTAACGAATGATTATGAATCTTTTTTTTTTTTGCCTTAATATTTATTGCTCTTAACTTACTGCTGAGATCAATTCAATGTCAAACCCTTTTTCCGATTTTATTTCGAAATATTTTTCTTCGTCATGAATTTCCCCATTAGTATCTTTATAGATCAAACTTTTAGCATTGTCATCTATATTAGTATTAGTTCCCATCTCGAATCACAAACAATGGATCAAAAAAAAAAAAGCATTTAGGCATTTATATAACAAAGGCTAGCAAGCGATATGATCTGCTTAGTTGTGAAATTATCCAAATAGTATTAACTATGCAATTAG